CACTGTCCCTCAGCTCTTCAGCTCAAGGCTAGCACTCTACCACTTGAGCCACAGCGCCACTTCTGGCTTTTTTCTTTTTGCTTATGTGGTGCTGAAGAATCGAACCCAAGGCCTCACGCATGCGAGGCAAGCGCTCTACCACTGAGCCACCTTTCCAGCCCCGACTTTTTTTTTTTTTAACAATACTCCACATATGAGATTTCCCTGGGAATATTCTCTGTATAATTTTTAGATAAAATACCAGGTTCCTGATTGTTACACACTTGTCATCTTAGTTTAGTGGTTTAGATCACTAAACCATTGATCAAGCCATTGTCACTATTAATTGCTTTGGATTAATTCTCTCCTTGAGCACCAGTTTCACATGTAAACCCTTTGCTAAACAAAGAATCTTCCAAACTAATGTAATTGAGCCAATCAGACACATGCTTTTTAATTCATGTAGTTAGTTACTAATTATTCAGCAAACACTGATGCATCTTCCAGGTACCAGACATGTTAGGGATTAGCGAGGGAGGGGGAGAACCTACAGATCTTACTCATGTAGGGTCAAAAGGTATAATATAATTCAGTCACTCTCTGCATTACTTTCCTTGTCTATCCTCTGGAGATGTGTACAAGTTGGAACAACTCAGTTGAGTCAAGTGAGATGTTATGTGGAAAATGCTTAGCTTTGCCTGTCTCATAGTAAGTGCCCAATAAAGTGTGCTTATCCTAATCACCTTATATACCATCAAGTGCAACAAGAAGCAAAATGGCATCCTTTTGGTGTGTTGTTTCCTGACAAAACAGTTACTTATGCCAGGACATTATGAAGTATCTCCTTTGACAGTCAGGTACCGGTGGCTTACAACTATAATCCTGGCTACTCAGGAGGCTGAGATCTGAGGATCATGGTTCAGAGCCAGCCTGGGCAGGAAAGTCCGTGAGACTCTTATCGCCAATAAATGAACAGAAAACTGGAAGTGGCACTGTGGCTCAAGTGGTAGAGCACTCACCTTGTGCTGAAGAGCTGAGGGACAGTGCCTAGGCCCAGAGTTCAAGCCCCACAACCAAAACAAAAAAACCAAAATCATCTCCTTCTAACAGTCTCAATAAAGTTTCTCCCTAAAAGACAGACCAATAAAAGACAATGCACAGACTTTAGCAGTGAATATATGTTACTTCCAATATTCCACTTAGTCAATAAGGCTGAAATAAATGGCCCATACACCTTTGAATATCTCTGACTGTTCACTTAAAATCTAGTCATTTTTATGAAGTTCATTTTTTCTAAATCATTCTAGGTCTTTGAAGTTTTTCTCAGTTCCACTGAGCTCTGCCAGTTTGTAATGACCACCTTGGACAGCCTGAAAAATCTGCCTTATCCTCGCAGCCAGCAGACAGCTGGGGAGTTGCTGATAACATTGGTGAAAAATGCAGAATCCCGATTTGAGAAGGTAAAAGCACAGGTCTATTTTCTAAGTTTGAAGTACTGGTCAAGCATGCTCCCTCCTGTAGCTCACAACCATTTCTCCTGCAGTAGGCACATTCTAACCAGCCCCTGAGCACCAAATAGGGGAGGGAGGCTTTACATGTTCAGTGTGTGGTCCAGAAGAGCAGGATTTCTCTGGGGAGATATAATTAACACATATGAATGTGGTAACTTCATTCTGTAGAATTTAAGGTAGCCATAGAAGGAGGCTAACTTAGCCTAAAATCAACAGAATTTATCTAAGTATATCTAAAATTGATAAACCAAGAAATAACAAAAAGAAAAAAATAACCTATATCCCATAAAATATAGAGAAACAGAGCATGGTACACACATCTGTAATACTAGCACTTGGAGGCTGAATCATAGCCTGAGCTACAGAGACTCTTTCTCAAATAAATAGAGGGACATATTTATTTATTTCAAATTCTTTATTGTGATTAAGTGATTACATAATTTCCCAAATTTCACAGTATTGTGGGATAGTGATGCTTAAAGTCACAAACACATTCTAACTTTCATGCAGCAAACTGTTTATCATGGTCTATGACATTTATGAGTTCTATGAGCTTTGCAATACAGTTATTTCCACATTGGGTGATATGTACATTTCTTTTGTTTTGCATAGCATCAGCTGTTCCTAGAGGTATATTAAAGAGCTAAAAGCACAAAAATAGTTGTCTCTGGAGAGCAGACCTAGGAAATAGGAAGGCAAGAACCTTGAAGTATTACTGGACTTTCCATGTGTGTGTTACATTTTGATAAAATTAGAATGGGTGAGCTCTGTATTTCTACTAGATCACATTTGGATACTGGAAATATGATTTACCATTTGACTGAAAGTATTTGTCCTCCATAATATTAAAATAAAACAGTAAGGGCTAGGATAAGAGCTCAATGGCAGAACACTTGCCTAGCACATACAAGAACCTTTGTTGAGTCCCCAAAAGAAAAAGTGGAAAAAAATGTAGAAATTATGAGAACATTTTTTTTGTCACTCATAGTGCTTGAACTTAGGACCTGAGTGCTGTCCCTGAGCTCTTTTGCTCAAGAGTAGCACTCTACCACTTTGAGCCATAGCTCCACTTCCAGTTTTTGAGTGGTTTATTGGAAATAAGAGTCTCATGGACTTTCCTGCCTCCTGAGTAGCTCACAGTCATGAGCCACCAGTGCCCAAGGAGAACCCATTTTTACTGTTATTATAAAGATAATGTACAAGCCCATCCTTCAATCCAGCTTCTAACATCTGATGTTAATAACACAACTTTATATCACATTGTCAAGGAGACTCTCTGGGAAGCTGACAATTCCACAGAAATCTGAAGTCACTAATCTTTGGGTGGGAAGGGAAGTCCAAGCAGAAAAACAGACCAAACCCTGTGGCAAATGCTTCTTTTATCTGGTGTAATGGGCCAGGACTTCCCTGCCATACCAATCCGAGTGGAAATAACCTAGCATACTCACATTTGCTAGTTTATTATAAAATCTATTTATTTGTCTGTCTGTCTGTCTCTCCATATATATAGAGAGAAAGAGAAACACACACACATATACATATATGTATAATTGAAGGTACTGTTAAAAAAAACTAATTTTTCATCATTCAAAAATACACTATTAACATCTGTGTATTTTTCATTGATGAAAGTCCTCACATCTATGAAGCTAGTGTTCTACCACTGAATCATTCAACTTTTTAAAAATTAAGTCCTGGGGCTTCAACTCAGAGACTATCCCACACTGTCCTTGAGTTTTTCATTCAAGGCTAGTGCTCTACCACTTGAGCCATGGTTCTACTTCTGGCTTTATGGTAGTTAATTGTAGATAACAGATTCATAAACTCTCAGCCTTGGCTCTCTTCAAACCTTGATCCTCATATCTCAGCCTCTTGAGTAGCTAGGATTACAGGCATGAGCCACTGGTGCCTATCCCTTTTGTTTCTGTGGCAGGATCTTAGTAACTTTTCTAGGATGGCTTTTTGGTGGAAAATTGAAGATAAAAGTCTCACAGAAGGGCTGGGATGTAGCTCAGTGGCAAAGCGCTTGCCTAGCAAGTGCAACGTCCTGGGTTCAATCCCCAGTACCAAAAAAGAAAAGACAAAAAAAAATACGTTAAAAAAAAAAAGTCTCACAGACTTTCTTGCTCAGGCTGGCATCAAACTGCAAACCTCATATCTCAGTTTCCTGAATAGATAGTCTTACAGGTATGAGCCACCAGCACCAAACTTTTTAAAGTATAAAATATTTTGTTTAAAAGTCATGAGCTAGGACCTTCCAGCAATGGCTACAATATCCTCAGAAACCATTATTGTCTCATAAGATTAAGGTACTAGTGCTTTCTTTTTCCTCTTTAGGTGCCAGAAATTATAGGAGTTATCTGTGCCCGGCTATCCATAATCTGCCAGCCTAAAGTCCGCCAACAAGTCATAAATACTGTGAGTTTGTTTATCTCCAGGCCTAAGTACACAGATATAGTACTCAGCCATCTTCTTTGCCATCCAGTGCCATATGACAGGTAATAGAAGCTTGTAAAGCCTTTTGATTAAATTGGGGTACAAGACACAGCTCTGAGTATTATGGGACATAGCTATTGTTAAAAAGGTAATGAGAATCTTAGCCAGGCGCTGGTGGCTCAGGCCTATAATCCTAGCTACTCAGGAGGCTGAGATCTGAGGATCATGGTTCAAAGCCAGCCTGGGCAGGAAAATCCATGAGACTCTTATCTCCCCATAAACCAGTAGAAAACCAGAAGTGGCGGCAGAGCTCTGGCCTTGAGCTGAAGAGTGCAGGGACAGTGCCCAAGCCCAGAGTTCAAGCCCCACGACCGCCTCCCCCGCAAAAAATGTAATGAGAATCTTGTAGAGGAGATAAGGAACAAATGGGTTCCTGACATGTAAATCAGAATATGATGTAGTAAACATAAATGAATAAGCCAACAAATTCAGTGAAGAATATCTATAAGGTAAGTAGGCTTATCCAAAAGTCGACTTAAAGTGCCCATAAATGGAACTGCAAAAAGTTAATGTCATGAAAGAACATTGTTCTAGATATAGAAAAGCTAAAGTGACATAACACAAAACATTACATGAACTCAGTTGTGTCCTGAATGAAAACAAAAGCTGTTAAGGAAAATTTAAATATGGCAACTTAACTAGATTTTTTTTCTCTCCACTGGAGTTCAAACTTTGGACCTTGCACTTGTTAAGCAGGCACTCTACTAGCTGAGCTATATTCCCATCCCTTTTTGCTTTAGTTATTTTGAGTAAAAAGGCCAGGCTATCTTTGACTATATTCTCTTATTAATATTTTGTGTATAGCTGCAGTGACAGTAATGTGCCACTGGACCCAGCTTTTGTCAGTTGAGATTGAATGTCATGAACTTGTGTGTATGTTTTTGTGTGCCAGTTCTGGGGCTTGAACTCCAGACCTGGATGCTGCCCTTGGACTTTTTTTTTCTTCTTTTCTTTTGCAGGGGATGATTTCCTACCACTTGAGCCATTATTCCATTTCCTCATAAAGTTTTTTTGTTGTTTTTGTTTTTGTCAGTCATGGGGCTTGAACTCTGGGCCTGGGTACTGTCCCTCAGCTATTCAGCTCAAGGCCAGTGCTTTACCACTTGAGCCACAGCACCACTTCCAATTTTCTGGTGGTTAATTGGAGAGAAGAGTCTCATGGACTTTCCTGCCCAGGCTGGCTTTGAACCTCGATCCTCAGATCTCAGCCTCTTGAGTAGCTAGAATTACAGGCATGAGCCATTGGCACCCAGCTCCTCATGAAGTTTTTGAAACAAATCATCTGGAAAGTTTGTTAAAAAATATTGACAATCTTGGGAGGGTGAAGCAGAGGATTTAAAGCTTAAGACCAACATAGTCCTTAAAAAAAAAACTCTTTTTTTAAAAAAAAAAAAAGGAAAAGATTTTATCACCATTTATATTAGTCAATGCCTAGGCAATGGGAGCTTGAGTCAATAAAACCTTAGGAGTTTATTTATCAAGTCAGCATGTTTTCTGATACCCTGATGAACTGAGCAGGGAGAAAAACCTCTTATAGATTGGCCCCAAAACTGACTCCAGGAGGGTTGTGGTCATGATAGGCTTGGGATATGACCTGTTCATGAATCCTTTTACTTGGGTTTGTAGGCACTTGGCTGAGTTGTGGAGAACCCTGGAAGTCGAGCTGCCCAGCACAACCTGGATCCTGTGGAGGCTCCTGAGGAAGCTGCAGAAATGCCATAATGTGGTTACCCAGGAGAAGATGGCCTATGTGGCTGTCTCTGTAAGCCACTTAGCTCTGCCCCTCCAACTTCAGCCCACCTTGCTCCCTTCCAGGATGACTTGCCCTATCTAGAATGTTCTTTTGGGGCCCTTTAAAAGCTTAATTCTGACATTCACTTATGAATCTGAATGTATCTCTACCCAGGCATTGATATAGAGGGAGCTGGGAGAGTGTAAGACCAGGTATGGCCTAATCTTTTTTTTTTTTTTGGTCGGTCGTAGGGCTTGAACTCTGGGCTTAGGTGCTATCCCCCAGCTCTTCAGCTCAAGGCCAGCGCTCTACCGCTTGAGCCACAGCACCACTTCCGGTTTTCTAGTGGTTTATTGGAGATGAGAGTCTCACGGAATTTCCTGCCTTGGCTGGCTTTGAACCATGATCCTCAGATCTCAGCCTCCTGAGTAGCTAGGATTACAGGCATGAGCCACCAGCGCCCAGCTCCTAATATCTTTTAAACATTCCTTGGCTCGGCCATTTAAAAAAAAAAATGATCATGATAGCTAGAGAGTAACAGAAACTTGTGAAGATTTTTTTTTAATTCTTCAGATTAAATTCTTTAAATTAATTAATTCTTCAAATTTAAATTCTTTATATTAAGACACAAATATGTAAAATAAAAAATAAAGGTCCCCTTAATTAGGGGCTGGCAAAAGATTGAGGGTAAATATTTTAGGCCTTGCAGGCCCATATATGGCCTCTGTCACATAGTTTTTGAGGTGGTTTTTTTTTTTCCTCAACCATATTTTTACATTTAAAAATGTAAGATCTTAGCTAGGTACAGGTAGCTCATACCAATCTATAATCATATCTATTCAGGAGACTGAGATCTGAGGACATCAGTTAGAAATAAGCTTAGGTAGACAATTCCAAGAGTCTCTTATATCCAATTAACCAGCAAAAAATCAGTAATATAGGTGTAGCTCAAATGGTAGAGCACCAACAATGAGTGAAAGAGCCTAGAGCTTAAGGTCCTGAGTTCAAGGCCCAGTACTGACATACACATGAAAAAAGTGTAAGACTTTAATCCAAGCAAGCATAGTCTCTGATACTCAGGAGCCTGAACATGGGAGTTGAAAACCAGATGGGCAACATATGTCACCCCATTTCAATTCAACAAAAAAAATATTTTTTAGTTTATACCTGTAAAAGATGAACTCTTTTCAAAAAATTTTAAATTATTATCTTTAGGCTATTGTACTAAAGAGTTGCTATTTAGCAAACAGTTTATGGATACAGTATATCTTGATCAATGGCACTCCTTTAGGAGTATTTGAACATATAGAACTTATATATATATGTTATATAATATATAGTATATATATGGTATACTTTTTACCCACTTTTCCCTTTTAAATTGGGGGGAAATAAAGTAAAATAAATACATTTTACTTTTTTTTTTTTTGGGCCTGGGCGCTGTCCCTCAGCTCTTCAGCTCAAGGCGAGTGCTCTACCACTTGAGCTACAGCACCACTTCTGTTTTTCTGGTGGTTTATTGGAGATAGGAGTCTCACGGTCTTTCCTGCCGGGGCTGGCTTTAAACCATGATCCTCAGATCTCAGCCTCCTTAGTAGCTAGGATTACAGGCGTGAGCCACCAGCGCCCGGCTACATTTTACTTTTTAGAGCAGTTTTTTTTTTTTTTCCAGTCCTGGGCTTGAACTCAGGCCTGGGCACTTTCCCTGAGCTGCTTTTGCTCAAGGCTAGCACTCTACCATTTGAGCCACATTCCCAGTTTTATGGTCACAGCAAAATTGAACAGAAATTACAGACAGCTGCCCAAAGCACTGGCAGCCACACATACATAGTTTCTTCCCTATCAGTATATACTAAGTCTCCATGCAGAGCTGGTTCAGTATTCAAATACCAATTATACAGTCTACTATATTTATGAGTAAAGAAGAAAATCACATTATTGTATAAGTGAATATGAAATTCATTTTTCAAATCCATCACTTAGCTAAGGCCTGGTAGCTCATGCCGGTAATCCTAGCTACTCAGATGGCTGATTCAAAGCCAACTCCAGGTAGGAAAGTCTGTGACTCTTTCCAGTAACAAAAGTCCCAATGAAAACTGTAAGTGCAGCTGTGACTCAAGTGGTAGAGTGCTAGCATTAAGCTTTTAAGCTCAGGGACAATGCCCAGGCCTTTAATCCATCACTTAAATATGAATCTTCTCATCTTTAAAAAGCAGATCTACATAAAAACTAACATCTGGGGCTGGGAAGGTGGCTCAGTGGTAGAGTACTTGCCTTGCATGCAGGAGGCCCTGGGTTCGATTCTTCAGCACCACATAAGCAAAAAGAAAAAAGCCGGAAGTGGCTGTGGCTCAAGTGGTAGAGTGCTAGCCTTGAGCTGAAGAGCTGAGGGACAGCGCCCTGGCCTAGAGTTTGGGCTCCACGACCAACAAAAACAAAACAAAACAAAACAAAAACTAACGTCAAAAAACCCTGAATAAAATTCTTAAAGGTAATAGAATGAATTCTTTCCTCCTAAAGTCAAAAACAAGGCTCTCATCATTCTTAACCCAGTATCATTTTAGATGTTCCAGCTCATGCAATTAAAGAAGGAAAAGGAATAAAAATGCATATATATTGTAAAAACAAGAAAGTAACTGGACCTATTTTAAGGTGACATAATTATCTAGTTGAAAAAATACTAAGAAATCTAGAAATCTATCAAGAAAAAAACTTAAACCTAATATGTGAGTTTAACAAGATCTCAATACATAATATAAATAAGCCAAAGGTATATGTACTTCCATACACTGGCAATGTACCTGAGGGAACTGATATACTCAAAATTTATACTTTCTACCTTTTCTCCCTACCATTTTATGGCTTTTTTTCTTTCTTTCTTTTGCTGTACAGGGGATTGGACCTAGGGCATTGTTCATCCTAGACAGGTACCTTATTATTGAGCTACATCCCCAGCCTTGAGTTTTTTTAAAACAAATCTTGCTATATAACTCAGGCTGACTTTGAATTCACTATGAAGCTCAGGCCTGCTTTGAACTGGCAATCCTGCCACAGCCTCCTAAGATCTGCAATTAGAGTGTGTGCTGTCTTAATCAGCTAAATTATTATTACAACTCTCCCCCCTCAAAAACCTAGTCAACTAGTGTCTTCTTTCCCATTCTCTGTTCTTACAGACTTTTAAAAAATCCCTATAATGTCAGTATAGTTTCAGAGGAAGTGATGCTGTGGCTCAAGTGGTAGAGTGCTCACCCTGAGCTGAAGAGCAGAGGGACAGCGTCCAGGCCCAGAGTTCAAGCCCCACAACCAAAAAAAAAAAAAGTATTGAGCAGTATAGTTTCAGAATTTAGGGCAAAAAAAGCTACTTTTAAATCATTCTACATATACTGTTTGATGACATGCCTCTATATTCATCTAACAATATGTAAACTGCTTTCCATACCAGCATACAAGGTTCTTTTCTATCCTTTATGTAGCTGTGGTTCCATGGCTGAGACCTATATGTGTAGCCTAGGCGGGCCTCAAACACATGATCCTACTGACTCCAGTTCTCTAGTGCTGGGATTATAGGCATGTGCCACCATTTATTATTACCTTTATTTTATTTATTTTTAATTACCTTTAAAAAATCTTACAAGATACAAAATTTTTTTTGTTATTCTGGGGAGGGGGCAAGATTTTTTTTTAAAACATCTCACTATGTTACCATCACTGACCTTGACCTCCTGGGTTCAAAGTGAGCCTTTTGCCTTAGCTATCCAAGTAGCTGGGACTAACCAAATATGATACCATTTTGTTTTTTGTTTTTGTTTTGTTGCTCATGGGGCTTGAACTCTGGGCCCGGGCGCTGTCCCTACACTCTTCAGCTCAAAGCGAGTGCTCTACCTCTTAAGCCACAGCGACACTTCTGGTTTTTCTACTGGTTTGTTGGAGATCAGAGTCTAATGGACTTTTCTGCCCAGGCTGGCTTTGAATCATGATCCTCAGATCTCAGCCTCCTGAGTAGCTAGGATTATAGGCGTGAGCCACCAGCGCCCAGCTATGAGACCATTTTGTGGGGAGGCATTCTGCCACTTGAGCCAACCCCTCTGTTTTGTGGGGGAGTTTGTTTTATGTTTTGATTTTTTTTTTTGCTAACTTTGCCTTGGCTGGCTTGAAACTCATGGATCCTCCTCATTCCACCTCTCAGCTGCGATTACAGGTGTACAACAAGCCCAGTAGCTCAAAATCATTTTTAACTATTAAGTTTCTTATTAAGCAAACATTTTGACAGTTTCAAACTTTTGCCCATTAAAACAGTGCTACAGAAAGTTTAATCATAATGTTATCATATATATCTAAAGCCCACTGGATCTAACAGTGTGTATATTTAAAGTTTAAGTCATTGTCCTCCGGAAAGCTGCTCTTTCTTTAGGTATGTGTCAAGGTGCCTGTTGCGTGTGATTGTAGCCCTCATTGATGCCTTGCTGTTAGGTTTTTAAGAAAATGGAACATTTCCCAGGAAAAAAAAGAAAATGGAACATTTTCATTAGAGTTTTGTTTGCGTATGTTTGTTTTGGTTGGTTGGTTGGTTGGTTTTTGTTTTTCTCAGTTGTAGGGCTTGAACTCAGGGCCTGCGCACTGTCCTTGAGCTTTTTCACTCAAGGCTAGTACTCTACCACCTTGAGCCACAGTACCACTTCCAGTTTTCTGATGGCTAATTGGCAATAAGATTCTTGTGGATTTTCCAGCCCAGGTTGGCTTCACACTGCGATTCTCAGATCTCAGCCTCCTGAGTAGCTAGGATTACAGATGTAAGCAGCCACCAGTGCCCAGTGCATATGGTTTTTTTGATTGGCCATTTTTTAGTTCTCCTTTGTGACTTGTTTTTTCATATCCTGTATACCAGTGCTTCTCAAATTTCATGTGTACACAGAGTGACCTTAGAATCTTGGTAAAATCTGAAGTGGGGCTGAAGACTCCCCACTCCTAACCATCTCCTAGGTAATGGCAGTGCTGCTGGATGTTACTCATATATATGAACATTTTATTAACACATTGATACAGATAGTTCTTTGGGTTATTATTCATTACCCAACTTTATGATAACGTTTAATGTGGCTTTTTATTTGTATGTAGTCGAGAGTGTTAATAGCTTCCTTTATAATTACTACATGCAGATCACCACTGGTAAACTTTTCTTTTTGTCAGTTCTGAATATTGAAAACAGGTCCTGTGTATTTTAGGCTCTACCTCTGAGCTACATCTAGCCCACTTTTTTTTTTTTTTTAGTAATTGTATTCATTTGTTTATTTTTGCAGTTACAGGAGCTTTTTTTTGGGGGGGGGTCTGGTCGTGGGGCCTGAACTCTAGGCCTGGGCGCTGTCCCTCAGCTCTTCAGCTCAAGGCTAGCGCTCTACCACTTGAGCCACAGTGCCACTTCTGGCTTTTTTTTTCTTTTTTTGTCGGTCGTAGGACTTGAACTCTGGGCCTGGGCACTGTCCCTCAGCTCTTCAGCTCAAGGCGAGCGCTCTACCACTTGAGCTACAGCACCACTTCCGGTTTTCTGGTGGTTTATTGGAGATAGGAGTCTCACGGTCTTTCCTGCCCGGGCTGGCTTTGAACCGCAATCCTCAGATCTCAGCCTCCTGAGTAGCACCAGCGCCCGGCTGGCTTTTTGCTTATGTGGTGCTGAGGAATCGAACCCAGGGCCTCAGGCATGCAAGGCAAGCCCTCTACCACTGAGCTGCCTTCCCAGCCCCTAGCCCACTTTTAATAACCACTCTATTCCTATTCCATCTCTTTTCCAGGTCCCTATACTGATTACCACTAATTTTCTGTTTATGGGATAGTAGAACTAGAAAGTACGTTCTGGAACAAACAGAAACATAAAGGATTAGGGCCACCATCCCCACAGTTCTGCTCTGTGCCTTCTATCACAGGTGACAAATGCCCTCTATGAGGTGTTCGTGGGAAACAAGCTGCGAGCAGCTACCTTCCGACTCTTCCCTCAGCTTCTCATGACCCTGCTCATCCAGATCCACCATAGCATTGGTCTCACCATGTCTGATATCTCCATCCCTAGAGGCCTGTATGCAGAACAGGAAATGTCAACAGACATCATACCTTTGAGGTACTGTCCATTGCAATTTCTCTGACTTTAACAAGTATTAAGCCAAACTAGAACATAAGGATAGCCAAGATGTGGTCCCAATTCTAAGGAATCATGTCTCTAACGGTCCCAAACCCTTGTGAGACATCAGGATGACATGTTCAGGAACCATTCTGGGTTTTCAGTGACTGCTTTTCATTTTCTTGGTACCAAGGGAAATTTACCTATCTGGGTTCAGATGCCCTGCAAAATAAATGTGATACTATGACAGTCTTTGTTGTTGTTGTTGTTGTTAATAAATACAGGAAAACACAAGAAAAATAGCTTAAAACTATCCCCAAATTAGTATTTATCCAGTAGAATGATTACTCATTTCTGCTTTATTGCATGAAGAGATATATTTTCAAATCACCATTAGGGTCTCAATGCTACTATAGTATGTAGATTTCTTTCAAAGGAAATGGTACTATATGGAATAATTAATACCAAAGAGTCATTAGACTTGGGTTCTAGTTCTCATTCATTCATTTAATGAACTTGCCCCTGAAAAAAAATCTGTTCTATGCCTACTTTCTTACCTATAAATGAAGAGTCTTAAGAAAGGAAATCTGTAAGAGCTCTTACAACTTTAGGAGTTCTCTGAGGCTATGTCTAGTTCAATAAGTAATTTTCAAAAGCTGTGGGCATGTATTTTAGGAGTAAAATTGTATCTCAATAAAGATTTTTTTTAAGCAGTAGGCATCTGTTTAGCATCTTAGACCATTTATTGAATCATTCCCTTCCAAACTCTTGGGGAAATAACATCTAGTTAGAATTCTCTATGTTGATATATATATATTTTTTTGTCCAGTCGTGGGGCCTGAACTCTGGGCCTGGGCTCTGTCCCTCAGCTCTTCACTCAAGGCTAGCGCTCTACCACTTGAGCCACAGTGCCACTTCTGGCTTTTTTCTTTTTTTTTTGTCGGTCGTAGGACTTGAACTCTGGGCCTGGGCACTGTCCCTCAGCTCTTCAGCTCAAGGCGAGCGCTCTACCACTTGAGCTACAGCACCACTTCCGGTTTTCTGGTGGTTTATTGGAGATAGGAGTCTCACGGTCTTTCCTGCCCGGGCTGGCTTTGAACCGCAATCCTCAGATCTCAGCCTCCTGAGTAGCACCAGCGCCCGGCTGGCTTTTTTCTTATGTGGTGCTGAGGAATCGAACCCAGAGCCTCAGGCATGCAAGGCAAGAGCTCTACCACTGAGCCACCTTCCCAGCCCCTGTTAATAATTTTTGTAAAGTGTCTTTCAAGTTATCAGAATATTAAAAGTCTTTTGGAAATCTGGAAAAGGGAAAATTACCATCCAGCAGTTGTCAATGCATGGCTCTCTCCAACAAGAGTAGAGTTCTTGGGTATTTGCAAGTTAGTGTCCCTTATTCTGCTTACCCATGTTATTTTTATGTGACTTAGCTTTGCCATGCAGGCTACAAAGACCCTTCTCCTCAGAACAATGTGCTGGCAGGAATTCAACATTATGGAAAAGAATAATGGATGGACGCTTTTGAAAGGAGACTGCCATCTTCAGGGAGTATTTCTCCTTGCCAAGTAAGGCTTCCTTGTCACCTGCCCCAGATCAGCATCGTATTTTTCCCTTCCTTTTAATGATTACAGCAACTAAAGCTGTGAGAACTCACCAAGTTCATAAGAGAATACCAATGATGTCCATAATGCTAGGCAAAAGTTTCTAAATGTCCTAGTCCTTGACACACCCTCCTGGCCACTAACTTCAGAGGGTATCTACCCTGAGAAAATTCCATCTAGTGAAGCATGTGAGAGTAACATTGATGCTTTGTTTTGTAGTGCCTTGCTGGAAAGAAATCACCTTCTAGCACATAGGATCTTGTACTTGTTAGTCCCGCTTCTTAACCGAGGGAATAAGAAACATAAACTAACAGCTGCAGCCTTCTTTGTGGAGGTAAGACTCATCTCTAGATGTGGTTGGAAGTCTCTGAAGCAATAGAACCTGCTTCCTAGTGTGTCCAGCCTAGTGTCAGAACGGGGTCCATTTCAAACATGTAGCAGACGTATTTGTCAGACTCAAACCTATTGAAATTCTCTCTCTCTCTCTCTTTCTCTCGTCAGTTGTGGGGTTTGAACTCTGGGCCTGGGTGCTGTCCCTCAGCTCTTCAGCTCAAGGCAAGTGCTCTACCACTTGAGCCACGCACCACTTCTGGTTTTCTGGTTTATTGGAGATAAGAGTCTCCCAGCCTTTCCTGCCCGGGCTGGCTTTGAACCATGACCCTCAGATCTCTGCCTCCTGAGTAGCTAGGATTACAGGTGTGAGCCACCGGCACCTGGCTTTGAAATTCTTTCTCTATTCTCATTATTCAACATTACTCAACAATATTCCTTGTATACTTGCAACATAATAATCACCTGTACTGTATGTATTGTATTATAGGTTTCAAGGGGAAAATCTAGAGCTAGTGGGAAGCTCTCTTCATGGAAAGAGGGCTTCCAGCTCATCTGTTTGGTTGGTTTCTGGCTCTTTCAGCTCCTCCAGAGTCCAGTGGCTAGAAGACTGCCAAGCATGTACTCTACTGCCCGCTTGAAAGACTGGTTGTGTCATGGAAACAATGCCTTTAGAATTCTTGCCTTAAGAGGACTGTTCAACCTTCTCAGACACAAAGAAATGGTAACTGATTCCTAAATCACAAAGGGAATACCCCAGATACCCAAGAACTTTAAATAGCTGAAAAGGAGAATTGGGTAGCCAGGGGACAGGGGTAGATGGGAGAGGTCTTTTTTTCACTGTGCATCCTTTTGTGCATTGGAAGTTTTACCTTGAAAATATGCAAGTGCTATTAAAAATTAAATATTTTAAAGTTCAAGACACAAATATTTATCATATTTGAAATCTCTAACTTGTGCAGGAGATATACTTGTTATGGTGTCCCCTTGTACTATATTACCCAACTTGGATGTTCCAAAATGCTTATTATCTAAGACAGATCACTGGTATCCATGTAGAAGAGGTCTTCCTAGAAAACCAGGTCTGTCAAGAGGAAAGCAGTAATCCCTGAGGCTTCAGTTTTGTCACTTGAACTCTATTTCTTTTACTTAAAAATTTGTGGCTGTAGGGCTGGGAAGTTGGCTTAGTGGTGGAATACTTGCCTAGAATGCATGAAGCCCTGGGTTCAATTCTTCAGTACCACATAAACAGAAAAAGCCAGAAGTGGTGCTGTGACTCAGGTGGTAGAGTGCTAGCTGTTGAGCAAAAGCAGCTTAGGGATAGTGCCCAGGCCCTAAGTTTAAGCCCCAGTACTGGCAAGAAAAAAAAAAAAAAACTGTGGCTGCAAACCGGATGTCGGTGGCTCGCGCCTGTAATCCTAGCTACTCAGGAGGCTGAGATCCGAGGAACATGGTTCAAAGCCAGCCTGGGCAGGAAAGTCTGTGAGACTCTTTTTTTTTTGTTGGTCATGGGGCTTGAACTCTGGGCCTGGGCACTGTCCCTCAGCTCTTCAGCTCAAGGCGAACGCTCTACCACTTGAGCTACAGTGCCACTTCCGGTTTTCTGGTGGTTTATTGGAGATAGGAGTCTCACAATCTCTCCTGCCCGGGCTGGCTTTGAACCGCGATCCTCAGATCTCAGCCTCCTGAGTAGCTAGGATTACAGGTGTGAGCCACCAGTGCCCTGCCCGTGAGACTCTTATCGACAATTAATCACCTAAAAACTGAAAGTGGAGCTATGGCTCCGAGTGGTAGATTGTTCACCTTTAAGAAAATACCTTGAGCATAATGCCCACGCACTAAGTTCAAAAAGAAATGTACTCATTATCTTGCCCATGTAATTGTAACCCCTCTGTACAGTATTTTCCCAATTAAAAAAACAAAAACCATAAGACTCTCACCGTTTTGGCATTTCAGAAGAGCAGAATCTCAGTTCAGTATGGGAAGGACTTTTTTTTTTTTTGGTCAGTCATTGGTCTTGAACTCTGGGCCTGGGCAGTGTTCCTGCACTCTTCAGCTCAAGGAGAGAGCTCTACCACTTGAGCCACAGTGCCACTTCCGGTTTTCTAGTGGTTAATTGGAGATAAGAGTCTCACAAACTTTCCCGCCTGGGCTGGCTTTGAACCGTGATTGTCAGCTCTCAGCCTCCTGCATAGCTAGGATTACAGGCGTGAGCTACCGGTGCCAGGTGGGTGGGACTTTTAAAGTTCCTCAATCAAACTTTAAAGTCTCTGGATACGTTTCATACTAAGTACCTTACTGTGACCAGAGTTGGCCATTCCTTTTTCTATACTTTTTCTTTCTTTTTTTAATGTTTTTTTGTGAAAATACTGGACAGAGGGGTTACAATCACATGAGCAAGGTAATGAGTACATTTCTTATCAAGCATTCTTGCCCTCCTTTGTTTTTCCCCTACCATCCCTTCCCTCCCATCTCCACAACTATACTCCCCTCCACCCTCCCCACCCCCACCCCCACTCCCCACCGCCTATACTTTTCTTATAGCAAGATGAAGTCCATATCCCTGGCTGTCCCTTACTTGATCCTACTTGTGTCTTGTGAGCTCCCCTCACAGCAGCTCTTCCCTCTCCCCTACATATATAATATTGAGGGTAATTATGTCCTCTTTACTTCTCTGCCTTGGACTATCCAGAGTTCCCAGAAATCCAGCCTGCACTAGGTACAGAGGAGGTGTAGAAGTTTTCCTTTTGGGATTTGATGATATGCTTCCAGGAAAGGTGCTCATGTGCTGTCTTTGGACACATAGGGGGAAAACATCAAGAACCTGCTGCCCTGTCTCTTAGATAGCCTATGTGAAGCCGATGAGAGGATTGTTTTGTTGACCATCCAGATACTCCTGCAGCTTGTCCAGAAAATGGATTTCACTACCCTGGCTGCCATGATGAAGACCCTGTTTTCCTTATTTGGTGATGTATGACAATGAGAAAGGAGATACTTCCTTAGGGGGGATGGGGAAATTGGAATAATAATAAGTATATTCTATATTATAAAAGTTTTTTACTTTGGGAGCACCTCCAAATATTCTATCTCAATACCCTTCCTGTAATCCTAACTACCAAGGAGACTGAGATTGGGAGGGTTGTGGTTCAGGCCTATTCAGGCATAAAAGTGCATTAAACTTCTTCTTAACCAAGAGCTAGGTGTGGTAAAGTACATTTATTATCCTAGCTATGACAGGAAGCTCACAATCAGACAGGAAACAAGATTCTATCTCAAGAATAAACACCACAGAAAAGGGCAAAAGGTGTGGCTCAGTAGTAAGAGTGCCTGTCTTGTAAATATAAACACCTGAGCTTAAACCCCAGCATACACACACAAAAAACCCAAACCAACCACAAAACATATCTTTCCAGGCAATCCATAATGTTGGTATGGCTGCTGTTATTGTTAGTTTTCAGATAAAAAAGAAGCTTGAGGGTGGCTTAGCGGTAGAGTGCTTGCCTAGCATGCATGAAGCCATAGGTTTGATTCCTCAGTACCACATAAATAGCAAAAGAAGCTTAGGGACAGTGCCCAGTCCCCTCAAGCCCCAGGACTGGGGAGGGAAAAAAAAAAGAAGCAGCAGCTTGAGGCATGGAAACTTACTAAGGCATTACTCCACTTTGTGGGAGGGGAGAATTAGAAGGGAAAACTGTCTTTGCTCTCAAGGAACAGTTGAGAACATACTCATGTACTTGTCCCAAATCCCAAAGACTTTTGAAAAATAAATACATAGAGCATAATGAGCGGCATATTTGAAGGAGTAAAACATGCCAAGATTAGAATTTTGAATTTCAGAACTTGTGTGAACACTTGATATCTTTATTAGTCATTAATACCATTAAGCAATGACAGGTGTGTGACAATGACCATTTCTTATTTATAAAGTCCCAAATATAAGATTTTGCTGCCTCCATAAATATTTGGTTTCTTGTCCTCAACTACATGTAGCTAAGTAGTTAACTCACCTAGAGTTCTAATAAACTGAGCATGAATGTGATTAGTGTGCTCCAACTTTGTGGATACTCTCTTGATAGCTGAGACCAGATGTTCATCGTTTCTCCATGACCCTCTTTGGAGCCTCTATAAAGTCTGTGAAACACACACATAAGAAGAATGCAGAGAAACAAGTCCTGGAAAGCCTGGTCCCACTACTGCTGTATTCTCAGGATGAAAATGATGCCATAGCTCAGGTGATACCTGCTGACTACTGCTTTCATCCCCAAATAATTCTTAACACTTCAGCCCCAAATAACTCTAAAGTCAGACCTACCTTTGAAAATTAGTGTTCTATCTTTGAGGGGTGGGACATAGTAGTGCCATCTTGTTCCATGTTCCATTATCCTTTGGCACAGGGCTATCTTTTCATTATTTTGCTTAAGAGAACTGTATAAAAATTTGCCCCTAATTTCTTTTCATTCATGGGGCTTGAACTCTGGGCTTGGGCACTGACCCTCAACTCTTCAGCTCAAGGCTAGCACTCTACACTTGAGCCACAGACCACTTCTGGTTTTCTGAGTGATTTACTGGAGATAACAAATTCACGGACTTTGCTGCTTGGGCTGGCTTTGAACTGCCATCCTCAGATCTCAGCCTCCTGAGTAGCTAGGATTACAGGTGTGAGCCACCAGCACCCGGCTAGAATTTTGGCCCTTTGTAGTTAGAGCTATGTATCAGTCCTCCTTGAGGACTTACCATCATACTCAACCTACCACCCAGCCCTACCTATAGTGCCTACCTCAACAAACTCTAAAGCCGGGCGCTGGTGGCTCACGCCTGTAATCCTAGCTACTCAGGAGGCTGAGATCTGAGGATCACGGTTCAAAGCCAGCCAGGGCAGGAGAGACTGTGAGACTCTATCTCCAACAAACCACCAGAAAACCGGAAGTGGC